TTCACCTAGTTGCATGAAAACGTTGCACCTAATTTAATGCAAACTTTGCACCTAGTTGCATGAAAACGTTGCGCTTAACTCAATGCAAACTTTGCACCTGAACCCGTGCAGACGTTGCAAACCATTGCAAAGGCCTGAGCCCGCCCAGGGCAAAGCTGGGTGCAAGCGGACAGGCCTGGAGGACAAGACCCCTTTGAGCGCCGGGATGCGGAGGACCGCGAGCCAGGGGCCGCAGTAATGTATGGATGCTTGCGGCCCGTTCCCATGGGAATGCCTGCGCAGAAACGAGGTCGCTCGCGCCGCCCGGAGCGGAGCCAGCGCCTGCTCCTTCCCACCCCCTGCGCCGCTGGAGCAGCCGGGGAGGAATTTTCCCTCAACAGCCAAGCTYGGGGTGCTTAAAAATGCATGCTGCTTATTCCCTGGAAAGAGGGAAGCAAGCAGGAAGCGGCGGTGCCGGAATCCCGCCGAGCTCTGCACGTTCCCGGCCGGCTCCGGGATGCGATGCGGGAAGGAAGCGGGACAGACGGGACACCTGGAGCTGTTTAGACTAGGCTGGGATGAAAGGCTCAGAGCAGCAGCCTTGGCGGCTCCGGGTCCCTGATAAGAAGCGGGAGCTTCAAGAGCTGCCGCTGGGGGCTGGGGCTTGCTTGGAGGCTGGAAAAGTGCTGGATTGGCCCGTGCACGGTGAATCCGACAGGATTTGGAGCACGCTGGGGAGCGTTTGGGTGCATTTAGGGGTGCAAAGAGGCTGCGACGCTGCCCTGATCCGTGTCCCCCGCAGTGTTCCCGATACTGAGGAGGGTCCCGCTGTGGGAGCCAGCGCCTGCCCGATCCCACCGTCCTGCTCCAAGCCCCAGCAGGAGCTGGATCCAGAGCCGCCCTCCAAGCCCGCCCGGCCCTTYGTGCCCGAATTCGGTGAGTACCGGCAGGGGTGCTCCGTGCATTGGAGCATCCATGGAGCTCCATGCATCCRTCCGTCCTCTGCATTGGCACCATTGCACCCAGCTTGGCAGAGCATTTGCATTGAGCTGATAAGCAAAGCGGAGCGGGTGGGAAAGGTAAAAAAAAAGGAGTGAAGTGCAGGAAAAGTCCCCTGGACTTTGTCCCCCGGCGAGCCACGTGCTCCCGCTCTCTCCTTGCAGATGACTCCGACTACGACGAGTGCAGCGACGAGGAGGAGGAAGTAGCCGGGATGGCTGGCAAGGTGGGTGTTGGGGACATGGATACGGGGGGACAATGTGGCACCGGGTCCCCCTGCGCCGCTCGCTGTCCTTGCAGGAGGAGGCTGAGCCGGGGAGGCCGCGCTCGGTGCGCCTCAACAGCCTCTTCAGCGAGGACGAGTTCATCGAGGACTACTATGAGGCACCGGTGGGCAGGTGGGCATGCATGTGCATGTGCATGTGCATGTGCATGTGCTTGTGCATGTGCATGTGCATGTGCATGTGCATGGGAGGATGTGTGTGTGCATGCACATACGGGATGTGAGTGTCCCTGTGTGGCAGGGACACGTGTGCAGGCTGTGCATGCACCGGTGGGATGAGTGTGCTCAGGGCAGGACCATATGTGCACGTGGGTGTGCACATATAGGATGTATATGTGCATGCATGGGCAGCAACATGTGTGCACAAGGGTGCATGCATGCAAGGTGTGTGTGCACAGGTGGMACACGTGTGCATGGGGTAGGAACATGTGTGCACAAGGTTGCATGCATGCAAGATGTGTGTGCGCAGGACGTGTGGGAACGGGCAGGAACATGTGTGCCCATGGATGTGCGCCTGCCAGGTGAGTGTGCACAGGCTGGACACGTGTGAATGGAGTAGGAACACATGTGCACAAGGGTGAGTGTGCAGGGTGTGTGTGTGCACAGGAAGGACACGTGTGCACGGGCTAAACATGTATGCATGGAGTACAGAATGTGTGAGTGGAGTAGGAACACATGTGCACARGGATGAGTGTGCAAGCTGTGTGTGCACACTGTGTGCACAGGCAGGAACATGTTTGCACGGGTGTGCATCTGCCAGGTGTGTGTGCACAGGCTGGACATGTGTGCATGGAGTAGGAACATGTGTGCACAAGGATGAGTATGCAGGAGGTGTGTGCACAGGCAGGACATGCGTGCACAGGTTGGACACGTGTGCATGAGCATGACACGTGTGCAAGTGGGAATGTATGAGCAGGGGATGTGTGCACAGAACAGACACATGTGCACAGGCAGGACACATGTGCATGAGCAGGAACATGTGTGCAAGCAAGAATGCGTGTGCAGGAGGTGTGTGCACAGACCCAACACATGTGCACAGCAGACATGTGTGCACAGGTTGGGCACGTGTGCATGAGCAGGACACGTGTGCATGAGCAGGACACATGTGCAAGCAGGAATGCATGTGCATGGTGCATGTGCACAGACCTGACACACGCGCACAGCAGGATGTGTGTGCCCAGGTTGGACACGTGTGCATGAGCAGGACACTTGTGCATGAGTGGAACATGTATGCAATCAGGAATGCGTGTGCACGGCGCGTGTGCACAGACCCAACACACGTGCACAACAGAACGTGCACGTGCAGCAGGACGTGTGTGCCCAGGTTGGACACGTGTGCATGAGCAAAAACATGTATGCAATCAGGAATGCGTGTGCACAGCGCATGTGCACAGACCTGACACACGTGCACAGCAGGACGTGC